GCCGGCCCGGGAGGATGCGCGGCGTGGGGCTCTGAAGGATGGAGGGCGTTTTGTACAAGTGGACCAATTATCTCACAGGTAGGTGGACCGAGGGCCACCGGCAGGATCGGGGGCCCTCGCGGCCTTGGGGGAGGCTGGCCGCCGATCGGCTCTGCCTGGCGCCGGGCTTACTTCGCGCACTGCCCCTCGTGCAGCCCGTCTGGCCGCTGCAGGGGAGAGTTCGGGACTGCGCACCTGCCTGAGGGTGGGACGTGTACCTGGGCACGGCTGTGCTTTGGTGAAAAAACGTCCGATAGCCTCTGGGATCGTTCGCGGCCACCGAGCTTAGGTCTTGTTTCAATCTCTGCCCCATTCCCACACCAGTTTCTGCATTTGGTTCATACCAGAGTTGTGGTATTGAGCAGCAAGACTCTTTAAGACCCAGCTTTTATTTTAACCTTAATTTCCTTAGCCACACGGTGTTTACAAGCTCACTTGTTGAAGTTGTTGGAGCTGGTCAGCGAGGTATCCTGCTTGGGAAGTCAGGTCAGTGCTGAGAAATAGTGGAGGAAAATGCAGGACACCGAAGTGGAGTTTTCACCCATGAAATAGGTTGAGAGGAAAAACCCCCAAAGGTGTTACATGCCTCTGTGGAAATGAGAAACCGGAAGGAAGGGGCCTCTTTGCATGATATTAATAACATTGAAAATGTCTTTGTGTTGTCGTCAGCCCGAGAAAAGGGCAAGTCACTGACTCTCAGGATCTCAGCCTGGTAAGGTCAGGGCCATCCACTGCTATATCCTGAAGGCGTCTTCCAAGACCAGAAATCTATGATCTCACTAAATTCCAGGTAGAGGGGATGAGTTCAAAATAAATAGCAAACAGATGGCATGGTCCAGCATCATAGATATTATCTGACTTGCTTTCCATTTGCTCTCTGGCTCTGATAAAAGTATTGAATCTTTTAGTAATTTTATGGTACACAACTTGTGTCCACTTGCCCTTGTGCACTTTTCTTTGCTGACAGTCCCTGGTGCCTTTGTATTTTGGACTAGATGGCAAGCTAAAGCCAGATTTATAGCATCAAGGACATTAACATTTATGCTGCATATGTTTGCACACCAAAAATGCATATGGTTTGCTTCCATAAATGAATGACATGTTTTAGCAGGAAGCATTTTTAAACTGGGGAAATTACGATGTTTTATTAAGGATTTTCGTGTGGGTGGTTGTGCTAAGCAGTACTACTGTGTAGTTGCAGTACAGTGTTGGGGTTTCTCTAAGGAACGTTTATGTGTCCTTTGAGATGTATACTGTCAGTGCTTTGCAAACCTTCTTGCTTAGGTAGCTCTTTGCACAGCCTGGAGCTATTTTGCTGTTGGAGATGAACCGTAATTTAAGACCTGGTGTGAAAGTTGGTCTCCCTTGGGGAGATTTCTTCAGTTCTATTGTGTAAAGTACCAGCTGGTTAAACTTTTAACCAGGAGAGCTTTAGGTTTCAGTCTTTGCCACACATTTAAGTTAACTGCTATTTGCCATGTAGAAACTTGCGGAAACAAAATTTTTCATTTGGAAGAATACCGTGTATAAATTTTAAATTTGGCTTTATGGTATGCTGGCCGCTAACTTCAGTTCATCTCAGGTCAGAAGGAGCTGCAGTTGTTCACGCTAAATGATCGTTCTGGAACTTTCTAGTTTAAGGGCAGTGTTGATTTGAGAATGCTTTGCAGAGAATATGATTCCAGTCACATTTGGCAGTTGGAGAGAAAAAGATTGTGTTTCTGACAAGTAATTAAAAGGAGAATACCTAGGGAAGCATGTTTCACATGTACAGCTCTCTGTTACATACATGTGTGAATCAATTAGAGATTGCTTTATGAAATATTTCTCCAAAAGGGTGTGTAAAAATAATTAACAGGCTTGGTTTGATTAATAGAGCCAATCATAGTTACCTTTGGTTTAAAAAATTACGAGGCTAAATATATATCTCAATAAAAATTTGTCATTTTAACAGTTTTTCAATGTATGCCAGTGATATTAATGACATTCATCACACTGTGGGGCTGTCACCACTATGTCTAAGATATTTAATCACCCCCACACCACTATTAAGTTGCTACCAATTCTAATTGAATCATTTTGCAGAGTTAAAGCCCCTCTATCTTTTAATTCTATGTTTCCCTGGAACTGGGCTCTGCGTTGGGCTGCTAACTGAATGGCCCTGCTCTGTGGGAGCAAGGTGAAGCTTCCTGCTCTGGTCAGGAGTACTCTGTCCTTGGTGCGGCTGTGAGTTGGAATTGACTTGATGACAGTGAGGTTTTGAGGAACTTTTTGAAGCCGTTCTTGTGATGTGCGGGGCAAGCATTTAGCTGCTACCCACCAGGTCGTTGTTTCAAAACCACTAGTAGTCCCATGGGAGAAAAATGAGGCTTTCTGCTTCTTTTAGACTCCAAGTCTCAGAAACCCAAAGAGGCAGTCCTTTCAGTCCCAAAGGGATTTTATGAGTTGGAATTGACTCAATGGAAGTGAGTTTGTTTTTTGGGCTTTTTTGTTTGTTTGTTTTGTATGACATTCCTTACTGTCTTAAACAGAGTATACAAAGTGGAATCTAACCTTTTTATGATAATTTTAGGGCTGTCATTTTAAAAGTGACATAGGTATAGGTAATTTGGGTAGGTAGTTCTGTGATCTGTATCATTGCATAAGAATAATTTGCTATTTGCCTTTCTGTGGCCATTCTTGGTACTTCCTGGCTCTGGAAAAATGGTTCATCAGAGTTGATAGCACAAGTGACTAGCGCCTGAACACCTGTGGCTCTAAAAATGGTACATTTAAAACTAGAACTCTATGCTCCATTGTGGTTTAATGAAGAACAAACGCAGTCACCCTGCCTCTAGCATGGTCACACTGTTATTGTGTGGGCCAGCTCTTGCATAGATTAGTAGCCTGCTGATAAGATTCCAGGGGAACAGAATTTGACTGGGAGGGGGAGTCAGAGGAAGGCCATCATCCTTATCATCAGCTTTGTCTTGGAGCCAAGTCCATGGTAGCTGTGTGCTCTAGTCACTGAATAAATATTAATTAAACGAATGACTGCTGTTTCTAGCAGCTTCTGTGTGGCAGCAGAGAAGGGGAGGGGACCCATGGTCTCACCACAGGGTACGCAGCTTCTTTGTAAGAAACTGTAATTCATTTAGCGCTTGAGGTGTGCTGGGGGGTTTGCTTAGGCAATATCTTTAATAAAGAAGGGAAGGCCACATTTTGCAATTAGAGTACTGGATGGTACCTGAGAGCGCATATAGTTCAACCCATTCATTTGGGAAAATAAAAATGAGAAGATTTACCCCATGTTATCTGAAAGAATAATGGTAGAACTGCTATATATAATCCATGGCCTCTGTTCTTTTTTATATTATAACCCAACTGGATCCTCTTTTCGGAAAAGACAAGAGTTCTCTTATACCCTGCATAGGGCTAGCATTGAGGGATGGGTCTTAGGGGCCGTTAATGACAAGGTGAACCAAAATAAAGGTGTTGCACAGAGTCCAGGAACAGGAGTGGGAATAGGGATACCAGAAGGGTAGGGGGAAGAGCAACAGAAAACATGGGGGAAGGGAGACAGCAGTCATGAAAATAATAATAATTTATAATCTATAGATAGTAAATGTCTAGAAAAGAATGAAGGCAACATATGTTTAAATTCGTCTGTTATAGCAATGTGTGGATTGTAATAAGCGTTGTAAGAGTCCCCAATAAAAATGATCTTTTAATTAAAAAAAAAGTGTTGACATAAGCTGACCAGGAGACTGCTGCAAAAATCCTACCCAACAAAGTATACAGTGATGTAGGAACATCTGACCAGATGTTACCGGCGAGCCAAAGGCTAGTGTAGTTGCCAAGTTTTGAGATCTCTGTGTGGTGAAAGTAACTTCTTTCCTTATTAATCTTTTGTTGTTTTTGATTTTTGTAGGGTGGCAGCCTCGTTGGTTTGTTTTAGATAATGGAATCCTGTCCTACTATGATTCACAGGATGATGTTTGCAAAGGGAGTAAAGGAAGTATAAAGATGGCAGTTTGTGAAATTAAAGGTAAGTGAATATATGGAATTAGAGGAATTTGGAGTTAGCCAGTCATGTGTTTTTAGCTACGCCAGCCAAGAGAGGAAAAGACATTTTTAACCAAGCTTCAGACAGAAGTCTAAGGTGACCAGACGTCCCGCTTTTGAACAATTTTTCCCCCGCGTCCTGCGGCATTTTTAAAAAGTCCCGATTTTTGGAAAGTAGGCACGACAAGCTAGGGTATACGGTTTTCGGCTGCCATGTGGCTATTTCGCCAGGATATGAGTTTTATCAATGGTGTCCCGCTTTACCAGTGTTAAAATCTGGTCACCTTAGACAAAACTCTCAAACTCCATCAGGTTAATTCTGACTCATAATGACCCCATGGGACAGAGTAGAACTACCCCCGTGGGTTTCTGAGGTTGTAACTTAAGAATGTTTTATTGGCATGCAATTCACATATATGATTTAATAGTTCAATCATATTAAGACTTGTGCAGGGGGAGGGAGGGGAAAATGAGGAACTGATACCAAAGGCTCAAGTAGAAAGCAAATGTTTTGAGAATGATGAGGGCAACAAATGTACAAATGTGGTTGACACAATGGTTGTATGTATGGATTGTGATAAGAGTTGTACAAGGCCCCAATAAAATGATTAAAAAAAAAAAAAAGAGTTGTGCAATCACCACCACAATCAATTTCAGAACATTTTCTTCTTTCTCATACTCATTGTTATCAGCGCTCCATTTTCTCTAACCCCCAGCCTCCTTGCCATGCCGAGGTAAGTATGAATCCCGTCACTATTTATGTACATTTACCCATCCTGGATTTCATATACAGAAAGCCATATAAAGCACAAACAAGCAAACAAAAACAATAACAGTGGAAAAATAAAAACCACCTCAATGGAAAAGAAAGCAGAAAATATTAAAACCTGAAACAACTTTAAAATGAGTCAAAGGGAGATCAAGGGATAAGATGCTACCTTTTAGCCTAACTAGTGAGAGGGTTTTCATTAGGTGCTTAATCCATGTGGGGATGGGGACTCTCTAAATTTTTATGGCAGTAGACAGCCTCATATTTCCCCTGCAGAGCAGCTGATGTGGTTAGCAACCTAATGTGTGATTCACTATGTCTGCAGGGCTCCTTCAAAAAGAAGTTTCCAAAGAAATTGAATTTACTGCCATTGAGCTGATGCCGACTCATAGCAACCCTTTAGGACAGGATAGAACTGCCCTGTGAGTTTCCAAGACTGTAATTCTTTCTCCCTCTAACCAAGTTTAGGGATACTTTAATATCACTTATTTCCCTAGTAACCAGGAAACAAATAAAGAAGCATTTGGCATTGTTAAAGACAGTTCTTACTATTTCTCCCTCTACAGAGGTCCTTTGGCAGAAGCCTTGTTGGCATAGTGGGCTAAGCACCGAACTGCTAACCCCAAGGTCAGCATTTAGAAACCACCAGTTGCTCCAATCCCATACAGATTGAAAATCCCAGAAACCCAAAGGCGCAGTTCTCTTCTGTCCAAAAGAAGTTGCTATGAAGCCAGAAGCAACTTGATGGCAGTGAGTTTGAGTTTAAATGTACTTTGAGTTGAAATTTACAACACCTATGCTAGTCTTCACTTTGGACTTCAATTACAATTTCTCACAATGCTGTATTAGTGTCCAGGCTGGTCTAAAAATGTTCTCTTTTCGCGGAAAGAGTGTTGTAAAGTTGGCAATTGAGCTCTCAATTGGATGGGGTCAGTTCTGTTGGGTCTTGCTGTGTTAGTCTGGGTAGATGAGAGAAACAAATTAGTAGACACTCCTATGTGTATAAGAAAGAGCTTTATATACAAGAGCAATTCAATATTGAGAAAACATCCCAGCCCGGTCCAGATCAAGTCCGTAAATCCAATATTAGCCCATATATTCAATACCAATCCAGAAAGTCCTTCAGACTCATGAAACATACAATGATGCCGAATAATGCAGGAAGATCACAGGCCAGAGGGTGGGAAGTTTTGTGGATCCAGTGGCAGTGGAAGCATCTCAGCACTGGCAGGATCTCCACGTGGTTCCTTCATTTCTGAAACTCTGACTGCCTCAGGGTAGCTTCATGTGGCTTTTCCTCAGAAATGTCTTGCAGGGAATGAGCCTGTGTCCCACCTCCAGTGAGCTATTTATCTCTTTGCCTGCCAATCAAACTGCGACCTTATTGATAGGGTAAACTCCACCCCTTCACTCTTAAGTCTCTCTCAAATTGACCACAGATTATGTTACTACCACACTTATTAAAGTGGATGAGGTTAGATTCATAAACTCTAGTTCTTTTCTGGATTGGAGATACGCTCTCTTAACTTACAGAAATATTCTTTCTTACCTCAAAAGGAGAGAGAATTCAGGAGGTTGTGCTGATGAACTGCTATGCAGGGAGATTTCAAGGCCCACTGATGCATTTTTGTATGTGTGGTTGGGCAGTGGGGAGGAGATAGGTAGGATAAAGCAGACAAGTGATAAAAGAACTGTATTCCCCTCCAAAGGACGAGTGAATGCTCAACTCCCTCCAAACAGTTGTCATTTCTTCTCGGTAGCTTGGGTACTCGCCCTACGTGAAAGGTAGTTCTTTTGGCATGCAGAGTTCTTGGTTGAAGTTACTGAATACACCTGAGTCAACAGACCAGGCAGGCAGTCAGTCATCTAAGACCTTCTGCCAGACTTCCTGAGCCCCTCATAATTTGGCTTTACCTACCCTGCCTATTTATGAATATCACTTCAGTCAGTTCCTAGATCACAAATGGTCAGCTTCGAACTCTCTGCACGGGCAATTTCGACATGCACTTTCACATTAATGTAACATTTCCCTCCTTTAAAAAGATAATAACAGATTCTTCATGACAGTAACCTTCACTTGCTGCATGTGTGGCTTTTAAATCATTGAAAAAGCTTCAAGTCTTCTTGCACGAAACTAATTTCTATCAGGTCGGTCTGCCTCAGAGGCTTTCTGAGGCTGTAAATCTCTATGGGAATAGACAGCTGCATCGTTCTCCCTCAAGGCAGCTGGTGGGTTTGAACCACTGACCATTAGGTTAGCAATCCAGCGCTTAAGCAACAGCATTACCAGGCTCCTTTCTTACACAGAATTAAGGCCATTAAGAATTAGAGGCAGCTGTTCAGACTTAACACATTCAACTTAAGGACACACTTAGGATCGGAACTGTTTGTAACCCAGGGACTGCCTGCATGCTGCAGTACGTGAAAGGCTCCGTGGAGACCTGCCCCTCTCTATACTCATCTCATAACCAAATCCTACTATCAGATTCTTCTTGAAGCCTTACTTCCTGTTTCCTCTTACTCTCAGTTGTACTCACATGAAATCGGCACCAGAGAGTTTGGCACTGAGTTTGGGGTTGCGTTTTGGTCTGCTGGTGTGGTTTCCTAGTTTGAATTGTCAGTGCTGTGACAGCAAAGACAGTATTTTTTTCTCTGCTTCTATCTTCTGCCCTGCCAGTGCTGCTCTGAGCTGAGTAAATACTTACTAATAATGTAACACAAATTTAAGAAGCACTGCTGGCACAGTCGTTAAGTGCTCAGCTACTAACCAAGAGGTTTGTGGTTCAATCCCACTGGCTGCTCTGTGGGACAAAGATGTGGCAGTGTGCTTCTTTTACAGGAAACCCTGTGGGGACATTCTACTTGTAGCCGATAGGGTCTTTAAGTGTTGAAAAGCAAAGACGTTACTTTGAGGACTGAGGTGCGCCTGCTCCAAGCCATACATAATATTTTCAGTCTCCTCATATTCATGTCATAGTTGACCATTAAAGAAGGAAGATCAAAGAAGAACTGATGCGTTTGAATTACGATGGTAGCAAAGAATGTTGAAAGTCCCACGGACTGCCAAAAGAACAAACAGATCTGTTTTGGTAGAAGTACAGCCAGAATGTTCCTTAGAAGCGAGGATGGCAAGACTTCAGTTCACATACTTGGAACATATAATCAGGAGTGACTAGTCCCTGGAAAAGAACCTAAAGTAGATGGGCAGCGACAAAGAGGAAGAGCCTTGGCCAGATGGATGGACACAATGGGCACAAGAAGGGGCACAAACACGGGAGCACCCATGAAGCAGGCCAGGACGGGCGTCGTTTAGTTCTGTTGTACAGAACTCGGCAGCACCCAACCACCACGATGTGAGTCAGAGTGGATTTGGTAGCAATGCCTCCTTTTGGTGTGTTGCTTGTCTTGATGTAATGTTACATCAGAAGTTTGGCCTTTTCTCAGCATCATAATGTTGTCTAGATCCCGTTTGTGCGCATCATTAAGGAGGGGAGAGGGGAGGAGGGAGGGAGAGGTCAAAGTCTTTAGAGTGCCTCTCGTTTCCAGGTGGCAGTGATACGCTGTTAGTTGAGCACGCTCTGTCTGCTGGCCACACATGACCATTGAGTGTGAATGTGAGTGTGTGCCAGATGTTCCGAGCCTCCAGGATCCCGGGACACAGATGCTGCTTTCAAGGACTCAGTCAGTGTGCGACAAGTGTGGCAATGCCGATGCTGGCGGTGGTCCCAGGGGACAGAGTTCCTGGTCCTCGCTAGCTCATTCTCAGTAGCTCATTCACAGCTGCTCTCTCGCTCACACGCCACCAGAAGGTTGGCACCTGGGCTTGCCTGGGCTTGTGTGAGAGTGGTGGCTTGCAAAGTGCTACGAGAGAGCCACTGGGGGAGTGGCGCTGGCTGCCTCTTGATTATAGCGTGTTGTCTCTGGTGTCTGGACCATCTAATACTGTAAGAGTGATGATTCAATTTTCCTTGAATGACTTGCATCTGCGACTGTATTTTCCTTTGGTTTCTCCCCAGTCCATTCGGCAGACAACACAAGAATGGAATTGATCATTCCCGGAGAGCAGCATTTCTACATGAAAGCGGTGAATGCAGCTGAAAGACAGAGGTGGCTGGTTGCTCTGGGGAGCTCCAAAGCCTGCCTGACAGACACAAGGACCAGGAAAGAAAAAGGTAAGCGGTAGGCTTTTCCCGTGGCACCAGTTCCTCTCTTAAACAAAATGTGTCGCGTCCACCTTCAGTCATATGTCCTGAGAAATCATTGTCCATGTAGAACGCGCCCAAACAGTGCAGAGGTTTAGACTGTGCCGCACAGGAGGGTAAGAACCACCAGGCGGCCAGGCGGCCACCCGCCCCACTTTCTGTCTGTTCTGACATCCGCCGCTGGGGCGGCACTTCTTTCTCTGATCACCCTCACCTGGAACTGAGGTCAGATGTCACAAGTTCAAGGAGCATCATCCTTCAGAATGCCAACTTTGCAGAGGAAAGCTCCAAGTGTGGGAGCCCTCATGGCACCTAAACTTCCGACCTGTTGGCGGGATAGTCAGGGGTTTCCCTCTCCTCCTTCGGGCAGGATGCTGCGCCCCACTACACCTTTGGGTTGAGGAATTGACCGGACACCTCAGAACTCATTGAAAGGACTATACTTCGGGCACAGTTTTATTGTAGGAAACGGGATACAAATGAAGAGCAGCAGAGGGCAAAGTTAACACGGAACCTCCACGTCCTCAAAGAAACATATTACCTTCTCACAGGCATGAGTGGCTTTTTTTAACCTGGAAGCCCATGCAGTTTGTCGCCATAAATTTTTTTTTTGTTTTATTACTTAATGCAAACAATAGCGCCTTTCTCTGAGATGCATCGATTTTGTGAGGCTGCAGTGAAGGGCGGTGAGCGTTACCTCGTCACTTCACCACCTGACAGGTTTTCAGGTGTGGATGGGCATCCTCCTTGGAGAAAGGTACATTCCACGGTTCTGTCTCACTCAGCAGCTAGGAACACGGAACACGGCCAGATTACTTTATGTGTACATAGCTCATACTGCTTCCTTCGGCGATGTGGCCATTAAAATGGTTTTTAGGAATTTTAATGATATGGGAAAGTGCCCAATGTTGAATGATAGTTGAAACAAGCAGGATTCAGAAATACACTTAGTGTTAGTATGCACTGTGTGAGAATTGGTTAAGTTTATAACCCTGGATGGGGACTCATTTCACTGTATACTCTTTGCTACTTTTTGACTTTACTGATATTGCCCATTTAAAGAGATTAAATAAAAATCAAAAGCAGAGTCAGTGACTTAGGGTATTAACTAGCTAGTTATAATGTGGAACTAGTAGAAGTACTTATATTTAGGTGGGGATCACAATATCTTTTTTTCAAAATTTTCCATTGAGTATGCGTTATTTTTCAAATAAAAACAGATGTTAGTTATATTAGAGCAAGCAGCTAAATTATGGGTATTAGGAAACAAAGGTCTAAAATGGAATTGCTAATTATTTAAAATATGTAAGGGAGTGGGTAGGGGCTTCAAAAAGTTCTAGGAGAAATTACATTAATTGCATTTTCCCATGTTATTTTTGAAGCTTCCTCTTATGATAGAGTGTGGCTAAGGGAAGCACTTGAAGGAATAGATGAAGTTTGGGCTAGGAAAACAAAACAAAATCGTTTCCGGGAAGTCGGTTCCCATTTATGGCCACTCCCTGTGTGCAGAGTAGAACTCTGCACGGGCCATGGGCTCATTCTTAGGAGTCGATCACCAGCGTTCTCTCCCAAGGTGCCTCTGGGGATGGTCAAACCTTCAAACTTACAGGTGGCAGCTGAGTGTGCTAATGGTTTGCATCACCTAGGACTCTAGGGATTGACTTAGGTTAGCTCACTCACGCAGAGCAGCTTAGGCCTTGGCAGTCTGATATTCTGACCCTCCCCTACTTCTTAAGATTAAGACTGGATATTTAGTCTGCCTGGAGAACTTAGGGAGCCCAGGTAGTATAGTGGTTACTCTGTTGGGCTGATAACTGCAAGCTTAACAGTTCAAGACCACTAGCTGCTCTGCTGGAGGACGATGAGGCGTTTTACTCCTATATGGAGTGAAAGTCTCGGAAACCCTGTCCTCTAGTCGCTGTGAGTCAGAATGGACTTGATGACAGTGAGTTTTAGGAGAGATACACGAAGAAATTACAGCTTTGAAAATACTTTGAGGATAGTATAATTTATAGGTGAAGCCCCGGAAGAAACAGAAAGGAATAAATGTTTAGATGCAGTAATTTTAATTACTTAAAATCTAAAAATGTTGGATAGACCAAGACATACGAGAAAATTGATAAGTAGGGGACAGTTCTGGAGAATAGTCTGCAGTAGTGTGTAGAAAGGGGAAAAACCCAACCAAATCCAAACTGCTATCCTCAATGTACACAAACACTTACAAATGACTGACTTCATGTTAAGAAAACACTGGAGTTACTGCATACGGTGAACACGCCTGGCTGCTGACCGCCAAAGAAAGGCCTAGAGATTTCCTTCTAAACAGCCAGTGATTGAAAACCCCTGGCAGACAGTGCTGCCCGGTGAGTTGGCCAGTGATTGAAAACCCGAGGCGGACAGTGCTGCCCGGTGAGTTGGCCAGTGATTGAAAACCCGAGGCGGACAGTGCTGCCCGGTGAGTTGGCCAGTGATTGAAAACCCGTGGCGGACAGTGCTGCCCGGTGAGTTGGCCGTTGACTTGATGGCAAATGGGTTAGGTAAAAAACAGCAACCTAGCGTTAGAACTAGGAACATAGCAAGAGGGCAGGAAAAGCCAATTCACAAAAGAAGAAATGTAAGGACTTTTCAATAGAGCGAAAATGTCCTGTGTGAAAGCATGCGGTGGGCTCTGTATTCATCACCCAGTCTCCTTACATCAAAGCTACCTTTGTGGCAGTCAGCTAAAGAGGAGGGCTCTTCTGCATCCCATCTCCAGCGGCTCATGTCTTTCAGTAACAGGCCTTTATGTTTATTGCCAGCCTTTGTTTGAAGGATCCCATTTTTGTTATGTTGCCCGAAGAATATGCAGCAACTGAACTGAGCATTTGTGTGTGCTCCTTTCAGAAATCAGTGAAACCAGCGAGTCTCTGAAAACCAAAATGTCTGAACTTCGCCTCTACTGTGACCTCCTAATGCAACAAGTTCATACCATCCAGGAATTCGTTCACCACGATGAGGCGCGCCCATCGCCCAGCGTGGAGGTAGGGCAAAGCCAACCCCTGTCAGTCCCTCCCTTGACACTTTGCAGGGTGCTGTTGGGTTAAATGGCAGAGAAGCATTTTCAAAATGAGTTCCTGTCAGCAATCCTGCAGCCTTTTGAAAATCCTGGGGATTGTCTGGGCTATATTTGTGCAGCTGCAGGAAGCAGCACATTTCTCAAGGGAATCGAGACCTATCTTTACGGCCCATCTCATAATTTGTGGGCATGGGTGTGGGGACACATTCCAGGCTTTGTTCTCCAAGCTGGCTATCCAGACTCATTGGATAATTGCTAGTCTCTCCTGTTTGTTAATAAGAGTCTAGCTTTAGCTATGGAGAGTTGATATATGAGCTTTATGAAATAACAAACAAAACAACCTGAAAAACAAGGCTGCTGAGGACAGTGATGTGTAGGAATAAAAATTCAGGTATGTACAACCTAGGTGTGAAACAAGCTCACCTTTTTTTTAAATTAAAAGGTCATTTTGATAATCCATACATCAATTGTATCAAGCATATTTGTACATAGGTTGCCATAATTATTTTCTAAACATTTACTTTCTAGTTGTGAGCCCTTGGTATCAGCTCCTCTTTTGTCCTCTCCCTCCCCCTCTCCCGCCATCATGACCCCTTGATAAATTATAAAGTATTATTTTTATATCTTGTACAAATCGCTGAATAGGCATCAGAATACCCCAAACAAACAAAAGACATTGTTGAGAATGAGGGGGGTCCGAGCAGAGACCCCAAGCCCATCTGTAGACAATGGGACATCCCTCACCGAAGGGTCATGGGAAGGAAGAAGCTCATCTTTTTACCAGCGAATCCTGCTGCTCTCCTGAGGAAAAGCTAGCATAGTCCCTTCCCTAATTTGCTAGAAGCAGAAGAAACCTTCTACCGCCCTTGAGGCCTTCTTGCTTCTACCTCCCGGGGAGGAATCTGTGTGAAGTGGGTTATTTTGGCGGCAGGGAACTGCGCCCCGCACTGACCCATTAAACCTGACGGGCCTTTGTGGCTTCACAGCCAGCAAGCACTGGGGAGCCCTGGGGAACGTGGTGTGTGTCCTTTAGCTCCAGCAGCTCAGGGTGGGCAGCAGGGACCCAGCCTCGTTCCAGCCTCCACCCTGCCATTCTCCCTGTGCTGGCTTTTTCTCCTCCCTTTTGAGGTTTCAAGATAACACACAGGCAGGAGGCCAGTGGGACTGCCAGGTTTTTATCAAAACTCTCAGCTGATTTACTTTTTTTGGCCAGGCCAAAGGAAAGTAGGAAAAAATAGGCATTTAGCAAAGGGGCCTGGAAGAGCCACAATTGACTTAGACCAGCCTGTGTTCAGCTCCCAAGGTCAGGGCACTTTGCTGTCCTAAATGAAAAGAGTTTTTATTCTACCCAGAAGGAAGTGGGAACGCAGCTGAAGGGCAGACATGAATTGTATCTGTCTGTGACCAACTCTCAGGCGTCGCACCGCCTCTGACTGCCTTCAGAATCCTGGTTATAGGAAACATTTTCTTTTTTTTTTTTTCATATTGCTTACCTGAGAGAACACTGTGTGTGTGTGTGTGTGTGTGTGTTCGCGTGCGTGTGAACACACCGTCACGGTTTGGGTGAGTGTTTACAGAGCAAATTATGCCCTCATTCAAGCATTACACCCATTTTGTTTCGTGACATGATTTGCAGTCCCCTCGGTGTGGCAGGACTCTTTGGCCCTCCCTGAGCTCCCGGTTTCCATTTGTCTTGGAGAGACATGTTTATTATTCATGGCTGCTTTTTTTTTTTCTGGCATAGTTGACTTTTAATAAAGTCGCCCACAGCATAGTACTGTGCTCATTGGATGGTCAAGTTGTGTGTGAGTCCGCAGGCGGGGTGAGTCTGTTCAACTCTTCGTATGTGATTTTTCAGAACATGAATGAAGCCTCTTCTCTGCTTAGTGCCACATGTAATACGTTCATCACAACCCTTGAGGAGTGTGTGAAGATCGCGAACGCCAAGTTTAAACCTGAGATGTTCCAGCTGCCCCATGCGGATCCCTTAGTTTCGCCTGTGTCACCTTCTCCTGTTCAAATGGTTAGAATTTCCTGTTTTCCTCCCATTGAAAGCGCCTGGATTTTGTTTGGTCTTTTAACGACTTCTAAGTGAAGAGATAGGTGTGGAGGGGTGGAGGCAGTTGGATTATGTTTTCTTTTGGAGGGTGGGGGCAAGACTCACCTTCCAGAGGAGCTTCTCCACGGTTGAGCTCACAGCACGGTTGCCAAGATCCGGTCCGTCCCCTCCCGACCCCCACCCCTTTACCCAGGGGCCTGCCTAAGCTGCTTCCTGCATTTACCCCCAGTGTGCCAGGCAAATGGGGCCATTCTCTGTGTGAGCTGCGACAGGAGAAAAATTGGGGAGCATCATCCCATGTGGTCAAAACACCACAATGCAGTAAAGCGAAGCACATATTTAAAGGAGTTCTAAGGGATTTGAGGGCACCCAGTGGAAACCGTACATTGCAATCATTATCAGGTTTTGTACCTTTGATCCTCCACCTGTGTCTGAGTAGGCAGGTGACTCCATCTCTTTGAAGGTCAGTCTCTTCAGTATAAACACAGAAGTTGGAGTGCCTGCATCAGAAGGTCATTGTGAAGAGTGACCTGCTGGAGGGGGACTTTGTTTTGCCCTCTGATTACTTGGGAACACTGAGCACCCCTTGACGGGGGCGGAGGCCTCCTTGTCCTTTCCGCGCTATAAGCTTGCTCCAGCATGCTGCAGAGAACTCACAGGGGACATTGATTTGATGCAAATCCTCCACCCCCTTTTTTAAATCCAAGTGTTTCAGGATATGTTACAATCAATGAAGAAAGACAACACCTGGAAGGACTCATGGCTGCTATTTTTGGTAATTGCCCGAAGACTTATTAGGTAGAAAAAAGAATAAGGTTCTACCTATCCCTAGGTTCTCAGTCCTCCACAGCAATATTATTTGTATGGGATTCAGTAAAAATGATCACCTATATTTATTTCGATCACTATTTTCTCATCACTGTCCTCTGAGGGGGACAAAGACGGGGCTTTCCACTACCTTCAGTAGTCTCGGAAACCCACGGGGCAGTCCTGCCCTCTCCTGTAGGGTTGCTCTGAGTCGGCATCAACTCAATGGCAGTGAGTTTGGCTTTTCTTTTTCTCAGGTAAGGAGCCCTGGTTGACTCCTTGGGTCTCCATTGGCCTTCTGACTGCGAGGTTGATGGTTCAAACCCACCGATTGCTCTGTGGGATAAAGAGAAGGCTACAAATATTGGCAGCCTTGGATGTATTTTCCATAAGTATTTGCAGCCTCAGAAATGCTCTGTAGGCTCACTACGGTTTTGGTTTAGATGGGTGGCTTATAGACAAATATAGAAGGCATTTACTTAAATGTAAATGTGAATCCTTGAACTTGTGAGGGTTCTTGGACCTGCATGTTCAAAGCAGCCATCTTTAGATTTTAGTATAGCATTGCACCTCTGCTGTCTTGTCACACTTGGAAATGATCTGTGTTACTTACTGCCTCCTTGTTTGGTTTTGGTGGATTGGTTGGATCTACTATGTTTTAGTATTTGATGTTATTTATTAGTATCTGGCTTAATCAGCTATTTCCTTTTTTTACATAAATGTTTTATACATGTTTAAGTATATATGTGAAGAATAAAGTAGTTCTACATTCTTTAAGGATTTGAATTATTAAAGCCCTTCTTTCTTGAAAATTATGCATTACAGCATTGTGTATCAGCCACTTGAATAGTGAGTGATAAAGAGAAGATGTGCTATGAGAATCTACTCCTGCCCTTACAAAAGACAGAGCCAGAATTATTAGAGTATTTTCTGAGTTGCTAAGTATGTTTATCACAAATAGGGTGACCCTTAGAGAAGTTCTATATGCTGTTTTTAATATATGCATATATACTCTGTGAAAATATACATATTAATAAAATAATATACATTTGGATTTTAGTATTGAGAAAAGAACATAGCAAGTTTTTATATAAGTTGAGAAAGATTCTAATACATGCTTATTTAAGGAGAAAACTTGACATGCTGATTGTTACTTGAGTCAGTAAAAAATATTTCTTGGCAATCATCTTTTTCTCTGATAAGTTGTTACGACAGTAAAGCTGTATTACTCTAGGTGCCATAATTAAGCTTCTTTTTTTTTAAAATTTCTAGATGAAGCGTTCCATCAGCCACCCTGGTACTTGCAGTTCAGAAAGGTAAAATAACTTTTTTTTCTAGCATACTTATCACAGAATGATACCTACATAAGGGAATTCTTCAGGTCTTTAACAAGAGATGAGAAACAATACACTTTTGGACAGAGTTTGGCCCTGTTTTGTCTAGGGCCCTGCCAATTAGGTCATCAATAAAAGAATGTGTGAAAAAGGTTCAGTAGTAAGGTACTTTTTTAGATGTTTGGAGTTACATCAACTGTTGGTTGTATGTGATGTATCAGGGCCCCAAAGTTGAGACTGATTTTACAATAGCTTTTTGTAGTATCATATATTTAATCACACTGAGCCTCTTCCAGGCTACCCAGCTGGATTCTAGATGGTTTGACTGACTTGTTTTTGACTCCTGAATCATTCAGATGTTGCTAAAATGGTTCTTAAAGCATAAAAGAGTTCCTCTTTCATTTAAAATGAAGTTATTTAAAATTACAGTTTAGTTGAGGGGACTCTAGGTCTTATAATTTAATGCCTCCAACTTTAATGCTTTTTACTTAATTTACAGGAGTAGCCATGCTGTGAAAGAACCAGTGTCTACGCTGTATCGACTCACCCAGCGACGCCGCAGAACATACTCGGATACAGACTCTTGTAACGACAGTTCCCTTGAAGACCCAGGTAGCAAGTTAGATGAGCCCTGCCTCTTTTCTATGGTCTATTTAGCAAAGTTGTTGGGCTCTGAAATTGCTGGAAACGAAAGAACACTTAACAGATCACACTGTGCTTTGCCCTTGAATTAATTCTTTAATTCAGTGCTAAGCAGAAACTCAGATACCCTTTTACAAACAGGTTTCTCATTAACTGAAGACTGCTGTTTCTCCTTGTAAAATAGCATATCATACATTCCATCCCATTACATTTTACTAATCTTTTATCAGCACCGTATTTACCATAAACAGTTTAGAAGCAAAAATGCATTTTAGAATGGATGTCCTTATTTAAGAAAAATTTTCTAAGTCCAAGGAAAGATCAGCATTGCTACTTAAGTAACTTGAAATGGCCAAGGAAAATTAAAGTAGCATTCATTTCTCTCTTTTGTTTTCTCCATGACTTATGGAGGCAGTTTACGTCAACTGCATTCTTTAGGAAGGACTTTGGGATTTATTTTAATGTCTTATTAGTTTTTTCTTCAGGAAAAAAGCTACAAAGCCTAGCTATACAGTAGTGACCATGATTTCCAGTGAACAGGCCTTATTACATTTCCATGAATAGGCTTTTGATCTTCAAAGTCTTCTTACTATATTTCCCAGGAAGGATGTGGGTGAGAAAATAACATGTAGCTCCCAATTAAGGAACAGGCTGTATTCTGAGAGATCATTTGTAAGTCAGTTGTTTGGAACACAGATTTTATTTCCCTCATGGACATAACACGATAAAAGTGGTTATATTCTTTAGAAAGCTTTAGAAGAGCCCAGTGATAATTCATATTATAGCTGAAATGGGACAAAGCAATGGTGTTACATTTCTAGTACTTGAGCATATTGAATACATTGATCCAAGTAGTTATCTTACTTAAAAGTTAAATGGGTTTAGTTAGAGGTAGAGTATAAAGTTCGTAGAAGCCCAGATGGCACCATGGTTAACTGCTTGGTGGCTGATTGTAAGGTCACCCAGTCTCCGGGAGAAAGGTGTGGCTGGCTGCTTCCTTAAAGAGACAGCCTGGGAAGCCCTGTGGGACCATTCTTTTTTTTTTTTTCTAATCATTTTATTAGGGGCTCATACAACTCTTATCACAATCCATACATACATCAATTGTGTAAAACGCATTTGTAC